TGACATAATTTTACTAATCAGTTGTTCCTCTTGGTATACCAAGACTGAGATTGCCTAAAGGTCTCAAAAAAACCTTATAGGCCAGTGCCAAAGAACTGGTGCTGGGCCAAGCAGGCAGAAACTCCTCATCCCCAATAAATTGAAGAGGTAGGATCTTCCAACAGACTCAAAACTCACAAAGTAGCTACACCTGGAAGAAGCTTCTGAGAAATAGTCATTTCCTAAGGGTTCTGAATACTGGCAATAAAGTTACTCACCATAAACAATTTACAAGCATCAACCCAGGAATCAAATTTAAAAAAAAGAAGATGAGGAGACACTTAAACAAGATGCAACTTCCCCAGACTTTCAGCTCACCAAAGGCAAACCCTGGGGGCAATGAGGAGGAACAGTCCAAAAACCACCCACTTGGACTCTCTGAAGTGGTAACAGCACAAGTAACAAAGCAGATGAAGGAGGCTCTAGAAAAAAGAAAATCACCGCAGAAATAATTTCCCAGATAGCTACAGAGATGGTGACCAGAATGAAAGACATGCTTAGTGTGACCATAGAGCAGATACAGATTGAAAAATAGAGTCGCTCAGGAACATGATGGAAACTGTGAATGCCCAGCATAGGAAAGAAATGGAATCCATGAAACAGATTCAAACAGATATCTAGGAGATTAAAAATTTCATTGAAAGTATACAGCAGAATGAGCCAATGTGAGGACAGCATATCAGATATAGAAGACAGGATTGCAGTTAGTGATCATGAAAAAAGAGATTTCTTAAAAATAGCAAGTCAGCTTGAGAAATCAATCCAGCAGCTTCTAGATGATGCAGAGAAGAATAACATAACACTGATTGGAATCAATGAAAAAGCAGGAGATAGCATAAATGAAATAAAAAACCTGTTCTCAGAAGTAATGGCCGAAAACTTCCCAAACAGGGAAAATGAATTTGACATACAGATAAATGAGGCATATAGGACTACAACTAGCCATGGTCAAAAAAAAATCTGAATGAAAAATCTGAAGCTCTAGAGGAAAACAACCTCCAACCTAGATTGATGTACCCTGCCAAACCATCTTTCA